TTTCAGGACACGTGAATAAAAATACCAATTATGCAATTTTCTAATTGAAAATCGATCAACGAGTTTATTTTAGGATAAAGTAGTATAGGCATCCAAGCATTCGGAAAAAGTGCATGTTTTTTGTTTGTTTGTTTTTGATTTGTTTTGTGTGTGTGTATTGTTTTTTGTTTTACTTGTGTGGTAGTTTAGTTCTTCTGTCAATTGTTTAAAAATGCATTTAGTGTAAAAAGCATGTGATATTTTTGCAAGATATCACAGATCACTTCCATTTTCATCTAATTCCAATAAACACTGGTATCTTAGGCAATATGAAAGGACATTTTCCTAAAAATGTAATTTAATGGTACTTTCATCGGGGTGCAAATTTCTACTTTTTACAAGATCGTTTCTCAGACTTCAATGAAGTCATATCATATCAAGATGCATGAAATGAAAATTGTGGCACGAAAAAATCAATTACAAGCTTTATTTTGAGAGTTATCAATTTAATAAACCTAGTAATTTAAAGAGTTATTGTTCCTGGCTGAGGATCGAATATTGTGAATTGAAACAGAGGACAGTACTATCAAAACAATCATGTCATTCTACGATAAATGGACCAATTCAGAGTATAAAACATAAAAAAATAATTGTTTCAAATAGCAAAATGAATATCATAATTCTCTTAAGGATATATCAGTGAACTTGAAAACAAAGAATTGTCCACAAATCTGGTATCGTTAACTTTTTACAAGAATTTTAAGATACCATTGATTTTGAGGTAATGTTACGGAAGTTAATGCTTGCTCAAGCCTTATTTCTTTTTAAATAAAGCTGAACTTGACCAATTTTTCGTTTCTGATGTTCAGTAAAGAACGCTTAAGTACATGTATGATTCATGAAGTCTAGTATGAATCGGAATTTAAATTAAATTTTCGGGGAAAATATCGTTACCAAAGTTAATTCCCAGCAATAAAAGTTAAAATTCTCTTCTATAGTTAAAATCAAAGATTGTTTTAGGATATTAAACAAAAGTATGGAACATTTCGCTCCCAAAATAATAAAATTTGTTATACCTTTAATGCAAAAATTTTCCTAAGTTACCGTTACGGAATATAAATTTTTAAGAGAGACAACTGTTTTTGTCTAATTCATTTTGTTATGTTGAAAATATAATGGTCTAAAGTAGCTTACTCCCAACTATAATCGATGATATAAGGTTCCGTGGTCACTTTTAGATAAGTTTCAGTTCTTTTTGAAATCTGCATTCTATGCGTGAAATTTAAAACAAAATCGTTACGGAAGTTTTTAAAGCGACATGCTATAATTTCGCATGAAAGGAGATCCATGCATTTCTTTGCGAGAAGTGGTTTTTCTTTTTATATAGGATAAAAAAAACTTTGTTTAATATTCATTGCAATCTATTCGGAACAATTTTACGGCTGAAAATTTCATCTTGAAATTTGTAAATAAATGAAGCGACATTAAGATTTGCAGTGGAATACGTTTTCAACATTACATTATGTTCGTATCAAAACTTTAATTGCATATATATCGGTAAATATTTACAAAATCATGTGTGTATGTTAAGTCTTAGAGTTGCAATCGACCTTTAAATTTATAGTTAAGATATTATACAACGGTAAATTTGTAAGCGACATAAAAAATTCTTAATTGGTCATGTTTTTGTAGAGTGACTGTTAAATCAAGGAGAGGAAAAATGTGGTCATGTCGATAAAAATATATATCATATCGCGTAGCTATAATTAACATTCTACTTTAAGCGGGAAATAAATACAAGATAAAAGTAAATCCAACAATATATATAAATAATTTTGTATAAGCCTATGATTAACATGTCACTTTTTTTTTTTAGAAATATCACATGGTCTTCTTAAAGGGGCCTGGACATAGATTTGAAGTTAATTTTTTCTCAAATTTTCTGTATAATATCATGACTTATATGTTGCTATAGCATTTCACACAGAAATATAATTTTTTAAAAAAATTATTTTATCTGGAAATTATTGAAACTACGAATTTCGGAACGCGTTTGATTGACACATCCTTGCACTCTCACAAAATAAACTTTATCCTTAATACTTAAGAAAAGTAGAAATTTTGTTGTGTTTTGATGAAAAATATTAAATCTATAATCCAGAAAATTCAGAGTAGAAATGTGAGAGAGCAAAACCAACTCACCAGTATTGTCAGTCTGTGCTCAATGATGTGTGCAGAGTTTAACAAATTGAACACACCCCGGTGAAACGTAAACGTTAGCAATAACAGAGCTCATGCCCCGTTCACAAAAACAGTTTACGTTTCACCGCGGGTGTGTTCAATTGGTTAAAGTCTGCACACATCACTGAGCACTGGGGAGTTGGTTTTGCTTTCTCACATTTCTACTCTATATTTTCGGGATTATAGTTTTAATTTTTTTCATTAATACACAACAAAAATTCTACTTTTCTTAAGTATTAAGGATAAAGTTTACTTTGTGAAAGTTCACGGATGTGTCAATCAAACGCGTCCCGAAATTCGTAGTTCCAATAATTTCCAGATAAAAATAAGTTTTTTATTATATTTCCTTGAGAAATGCTATAGCAACATATAAGACATGATATTATACAGAAAATCTGAGAAAAATATTTACTTCAAATCTATGTCTAGACCCCTTTTAAAATTTAATTTAGAAAGTTATATCTTTAGTATTTAGAAGATAAAGCCACCATATTGAAGACAATTTAGACCCACAATCCTCTTGTATCCTTCTTTGACATAATGTATCAGTTTTAATAAAAATACATTTTTCACCATTCTGCTTTTTAAAAAGCTAAGGTAATTTGGCTTACAGCATAATGAAAAATTCAGCGCATGTAAAGCCAAACTTCTAAATGTATTTTATTAATCATATATAAGCGTGTACTTTAAGCGACGGGAAAGGCGCTGAAGTATGAAGATTACAGTATATTATTATAAGAAGAATTTTAACACATTACGTTCGATTATGAGGTATAGCAGAATGTCTTGTAAAACAAACTAATTCCTGTGGGACAGAAAAGAAAATTTTGTGCTTGATGTTAGAGCGATGGCAATGTGTGGCAGTTCTAAGTATTGAAGAAAATTAATGTATAATAAACCAGAAATAAGATTATTAGTATCAGAGCCGATCGCTTCTACGACTGAGTCATTAGAGTAGTGAAAATAAGTATCAGAGCCGCTTGGTAAGACGACAGAGCAGCTTGCTAAGACGACTGCGTCAGTAAATGTATAGAGAAAATAAGTATCAGGGCCGCTTGTTAAGACGACTGAGTCAGTAAATGTAGTGAAAATAAGTATCAGGACCGCTTGTTTAGACAACTGAGTCAGTAAATGTAGTGAAAATAAGTATCAGAGCCGCTTGGTAAGACGACAGAGCAGCTTGCTAAGACGACTGCGTCAGTAAATGTATAGAGAAAATAAGTATCAGGGCCGCTTGTTAAGACGACTGAGTCAGTAAATGTAGTGATAATTAGTATCGTGGTCGTTTGCTAAGACGATTGAGTCAGTAAATGTAGATAAAATTAGTATCAGGGCCGCTTGTTAAGTCGACGGAGTCAGTAAATGTAGTGAAATCACCTATAAGGTTATAAGTATCAGAGCCACTTGCTAAGACTACTGAATCATAAAAACGAACGATTCCTTGACCTTCCAGATATCAACTTCATGATTAAAAAATAATAATGGAGTCAGTCATATGTCCGAATGTTGAACTACTCATACATACATGAATACTTGTAGTTCTTTCCTCGCTTCACATACACTGTTGCACAGAAAATGAGCAAAGATTTACACTTTGTGCATTTTTTATGACAAACACTCTGGACTACTAGAATATTGAGAACTACAATTATTGACACCTTTTCTCTGAATTTGCACTTTTATATAAGGGTATCGCACGCATGATCACAATTTTATCCAACATATGCATGACATAAAGCTTTCTTCAAGGAATAATTTCAGGAAAATTGGGGTGAATGGTTACCAGCTCTCAAAGTTGGAAATAGGTATCTTTTCTTTTTAATCTGAAATTTTATTCCATATTCTTCAGACAATATGGAACACCTTTAAATGCTTAAAACATGAAGTTTAAATTATGTTTCATATTTATTAAAAAAGTTCATGGGGAATATAGTTATTTTGTGGTATTACTATGGAAACAAAAAAGTGAAAATTCAAATTTATATATCTTTATTATTATTTTTTTTTGGGACATGTACATTTGAATAAAAAAAATCATACATGAAATTGATATGTAATTTCTAATAGCAAAACTGCAAGATTCTTATAAATCACTTAAAATATTATCCCTATGATAATGCCTAAATGCCTATTGAAAAAATATTGTTAAAACATTTTTTGTATACGTTTTAGTAATATTGTTGTCTACTCACATTAAATAAATAGATTCTGGTTATCTTTGCGTTTCTTTGAATTTAAGAGATACATGTAACCCCTTTTCAATGCAAAAATTATTGCATAAAGCCCAAAAGCCCAATTATATTTTGTCAATCAAAATACACGTGAGCAAATTATTATGTTCATTCCTGTTTAGTATCCTTGATGTTTCATGTGTTTAGTCTGTTTACTTTTTCAAATAATAGCAAGAGATTAAAAAATTTGATTTTTTTTCATTTCAAGATTTCGTTCAAATGTAACCATAATCACGATCCATAAAACGATTATTCACTATTATTTCTTGTAAGTGTCTTAAACAATAAGGCTTATCATCCCTACATATGTAGTCATATACATTCGTTGTCTCTTCACAAAGCCATAAAACAATTCGTATATATTAACAATTTTCCCAACTTTTAGGTCTGTTGCATGGAAACCGAAATCCACACTAAGCAAAAAAATCACTGGTTTAAGTTTAAAGGATGAAACCCTAATAATTCATTAATTTTCAAGAAAATGCATGATTGTGCGTGCCAAAATGTTTAAGTGCTCACATAAAACGGCTCTTAATTTCTTTGCTGATTTTAATATTTTCTAAAAATTTTAATGAATCCGTCCATGCAAGCCACCCACAAATAATCGTCAGAATCAAAGACAGAAGTAAAGACGGATTCATTAATGAGATCACAGCAGGAAAATATATGTTTGATATTGCCACCTGGTTCCAGTACACAGACGTTCGGATTACCTTTCCAAAAAATGTAAATTTTTCCTTTTTTATCGCAACAAAGGGAATGACATTTTCGAATGGGAAAGTCTTTGGATGACTTGAAGGTGTAGCGAATTCTTCCTAAGCGGTCCAAAACCGTGATTGTTCGTTGAGCAAAATCAGACACGATGCAGTCATCATTAACATTGACACAGACTTGAAAAGGATTGCCACACATATTTTCAGCTACATTTTTCTCCCGTGGTTTACTTGACTTTGGCCTACGGATTGGATATTTTCTCAATGGATTGCATGCCTTCATTGTAAGGTCGTTAGCTATCTTGTTGTTTCTCCATACTAGTATAGAGTCGTCCAGTCGAGTGTATGCGATACTAATGGGGCATTGTATATTATCCAGAAATGTTCTCATCTTCAACGAAAAAAATGTCGGTAATTATTTTATTTTCAAAAAAATACATCTAACAAAATCTCTCTCTCTCTCTCTGCGACAAATTAAAGAAAACTAGGTTGCTTACCTGTCGGCGACGGTCAAACATTCGAACTTGTTTCAAATCCGGACATGACATGAACACATTCCCATCTTTGTCAGTTGCTAGGGAGTCCACTGGACAGCCAACATCAACAAAGTCCATTAAGTCCCCATTTCTGTCATACAGGAGTATGCTCTTTGAAGCCTTCGTCGCTACCCAGCATTTCCCAGAATCATATGGTATTATCGAGGACACGTCAGAGCAGCCCGCGGGAACACAAAATGTAGACTCCAATTCCAAGAGATTTCCACCACTTCGCTCATCTCTGGAACAGACTGGTGACCGAATATCTCTATCCCTAATGCTAATTTCGGACCTTGTGTTATGTAATTTCGAATCTCTTTTATTTTGTGTTGTTGTGTTGTCGACTTTTAGATCATTTGCATAAGGATAAATACGGTTGTGAAATTCTAGTACTTTGCTCTTACTTAAAATGCTTCTGGATACATCCTCAAACTCTGAGTACTCTAAACCCTCATTGGCTAGAAGATTATCGTACTTCTTGTGTAGTAGGGAATCTCTTTCCCACGTCCCAGTGAAACCTGGACAGCTTCCTCTTTTTTTATATTGACCACCCTCTGACTGTCTGTACATTCCTCCCTCAATTCCCGAGCCATTAAATGTACGTCTTTTCTTTATTGGGAGAGGGGGCGGTGGGGTATCATATAAACCCAGATCTAGGAAGTCATTTTCAGTGTTTTTTATCCTGATTGTTGGATTCTTTGAAACTCCTGATTCAGATTTATATACGGATTTTGCTGAAGACTTCGAATCCTCCTCTTGTTCAGAGTATTTAGAATGACAACTCTGAAGGTCTCGAAGATTTAGTCGTGGAATATACACGTCTTTTTCCTCTGTGCTTGGTAGGAATGAAGAACCACTGTCATCTGGTAAATCAGAAAGTTCGCTGTCATCGTTAAAGATACTGTCACGTGAAAAATATTGATTTATATCCATTTAGTCAAACTGCCACAAATTAATTTAAATTCACCTCTTTATAACAGTTTATGACTGACTAGTAATGCATCATCATTTCATATTTTTCCATATCGAGCACTAATCGGGAGGTACTTTTTGATGACATCTGTTGGAAAAATTCAAATTTATAGACAAAAGTCATATGAAATCACATGCGAGTTTCCAGCATGGTTTACCACGTGGAAAAAATATTACGAAAAAGGCTAAAGTTAGAATCAAAGTATTTATATCTAACGCTGTGCTGAAATCAAAACACTAACATGTGGAGGAAGAGATTAGATAAATGAAAATTCCATAAGGAAATTTTATTTATACATTATTAAAAAAAACCTAGAACACACTAAAGGATATAAAAATCATTTAAAATATGGGTATATATCTGAATGTTATATTCGCTTTAGCCTGTGTCTCTTTAACATTGTTATTTCATTTAAATTATAAATTATTTTTTTCACCCATATTTAATATTAATTAAAACGTCATTTATTGCAAATATGGTTCAAAGCAAAGAGGAAAAAGTACTTCCGATTTGCAGGGAACCAAATACAATCATGTCCTCTGTATTTTAGTATATTTCAGCAATATATATGTTACTTTTGCATTGCATTGTGTCATAAGTCACAGGTTGTGCTCAGAAATTGATATTCATTAAGGAATTTTAAAATATCTCAAGGTTATTGTTTTCCGACATTTCCTAGTCTATGCATAATTTTTCAGTCTAATTAGAATTAGCCCCGACGTTTTATTATTTGTCCATCCTCACAATGTCAAGGTTTTGTGATTTCGGAACTCCACACAAATTGTGTGGAGTTCCGAAATCACAAAACCTTGACATTGTGAGGATGTTATTTGTTATGCCTGCGGCATATAATAATAAATAATAAAACATAGGGGCTAATTTTAATTAGACTGCATAATTTTTAAACAATTTATCACCTTGATACCATAACATTATGTCGTCATATTTTGCTTTGCAGGTATCTCTAAACAATACATGCATGATTAAACACGATTGTTTCTTATCCCAATAGAAATTCAAATTGTCTAAATCAACTATGTGGACAAACAGTCTATTTAATGACATAAATGAAACCAAGGGTTCCTAGAATTTATTTTATTTTATTTTTTTTTTACCACACTGACCTACTCAAAAATATTGACTGGAAAAGGAGTGATAAATAAAACCCCCTCCCCAATAGTTTTATGATGTATCGCAGAAAGCCATATTTCTTTTAAATGAAGCTATCCATGTTCTACAACATGTATATATAAAAAATGAATAAGTGATGGCAGATTGTTATTCGAGGTAATATTCAGAAATTCAATAAATTAACATAAAAAGCATACCAACTGAATGACGTCAGAACTAAAGAATTAATATAAAACTATATATATATACATTTCATCTTCCTATCTTGCGACAGAGTTTAGAAGTGCCAAATTTATAAAATATAGACAACCATGTGACGGTACATCCAGTATTGTCTTCCTGTACATATTTTCTTCGGCGACAATATGCACCTACCCTCACTGCATATATTACTGTCCATCGGCATATATTATCTCCGACTGAAAAAAAATAGGTGCACATATACTAGTAGTCACCGGCGACAATATGTGCCTACCTCTCACTGCACATATTGTAGCCCTACAATTAGAGTTAATTAAGGAACTGTTGTAGTTTTGTGATTGTTATTACTATGTTAATCACAAAGACATCACGTAGGCAAATGTCATATTGAGTACCACAGTTAAAATACTCTGTTTACCGGTATATTGATACAAGTTAGAATACAAAAAATGGTATTCAAAGTGAAAATTTATTTCCAGTTTTCATGAGATTTACTAAAAGGCAAATAAATGGGTTTTTAAGCACAGTTCTCATTTTTAAGTCTTAAAAAAGCAGCGGCAATATAATGTTATTTTCATATTATATTTTTATTTTTAACATACAAGTTGCACCGTGAAGAAGAAGAATGGTGCAATTAACACGATTAATATATAAATTCATAAAAAAAATTTACCTAATCTTTCTCTCTCCGACTACAGTATAACATTCTTCAGAACGATGCTGTGCAAATGTTTACAGCATATATTGTCGCTGACGACAAATATGTACCAATATGTAAGGTATATATTTTGTCGCCCATTCTGTAGAGTCCTCACGGTACATATATTCGCTGATGTGAATATGTATTGATGAACGACAATAAATATGCAGTGTAAATAAGAGTATGCACATATAATCGCCGGCGACGTACATATTGTCGCCGGTGGCAAACCATTTGATTTTCTCATTTGCTCAAAAATGTTACTGAATTCACATTGTAATGTGTATATACCCATGTTACTGAATTCACATTGTACTGTGTATATACCCATGTTATTTCTTCACATTGTACTGTGTATATACCCATGTTACTGAATTCACATTGTACTGTGTATATACCCATGTTATTTCTTCACATTGTACTGTGTATATACCCATGTTATTTCTTCACATTGTACTGTGTATATACCCATGTTATTTCTTCACACTGTACTGTGTATATACCCATGTTATTTCTTCAAAGTTCATCGTTATGATTCATCATATTATATGGGGAAAATTATCAAATCTTAAATATATTTTCAGGAAAAATGTAAATAAAACAAGCATTCTGAGAGTATTGCATTAGCAATACCAGTCCCCTACCGGCAAGTGTAATCTGGTTCCCGTTAAAATTTGAAAATGCCATAATTCCGTCAAAAATTAATGAAGCGGAACAAAATTCAAACTTGATCTGTAACTCATCGAGGTTAAGTCACAAACCAAAAATCAGCTCAATATCTGCAAGCGTTTAGAAAAAAAGTGCGGAAAACCAAGTGGGACAGACTGACAGACAGACAGAGGGACAGACAGACAGAAAGACAGACGGACAGACGGACGGACAGACTCAGAGGAAACCTATAGTCCCCTCCGGTTTCACCGGTAGGGGACTAAAAAGCACCGATTATGCATTTTCTACATTTTCTACATGAAAATTGATCGACAGGTATATTTTATGATTTAAAAGAAATAAAACAAGCATTCTGAGAGTATTGCATTAGCAATACTAGTCCCCTACCGGCAAGTGTAATCTGGTTCCCGTTAAAAATTGAAAATGCTATAATTCCGTCAAAAATCAATGAAGCGGAACGAAATGGAAACTTGATCTATAGCTCATCAAGGTTAAGTCACATACCAAAAAATCAGCTCAATATCTGCAAGCGTTTAGAAAAAATGTGCGGAAAACCCTGAAAAATTGAAAAGGTCGTAATCAATGAAGCGGAAACGAAATGCAAACTTGATCTGTAACTCATCAAGATACACTCACATACCAAAAATCAGCTCAATATCTGCAAGCGTGTAGAAGAAAAGTGCGGAAAACCAAGTGGGACAGACTGACAGAGGGACAGAGGGACAGACAGACAGACGGACGGACAGACTCAGAGGAAACCTATAGTCCCCTCCGGTTTCACCGGTAGGGGACTAATAAAGGTATCTAGACATTCTGAGAAATTGCATTTCCCCCTTCCCCCCTCCCTTATCTTCTAGTTCTTTTATATTCTAGTTCTGCTAATAAATTCAGTTGTTATATAATACATAATATAAAAACTAAAAAGCATGTGATTTCAATGCAAGGCATCACAGATCACTTCTAATCTCATTTCATGCTAAAAATTAACATTGGTATCTAAGGCAAGATTGAAGGAAATTCGATTTAATATTTTTGTATGTTACTTTTATGGAGTGCAAATATTTATTTGTCATAAGAACGTTATTGAAAGAACAGCATTTATCTCTCCAGGGAAGCTTACTGGAACTAAATAAATATCTGTTTAAAAGAGTTTAACGGATGTAAGCAAATTTATTAACAATGATTTATTAGTTTTCATTAATTTTCTTGGGTGTTGAACTTGTGTATATATGTCATTCGACGTCTCAATATTTTGCAGTTATGAATACATTTATGAAGGTAGAGGCTTTTTAATATCTTTCATGTTAATTTATACTCCCTACACTGCATGTTTACTTTCAGATGTAGAATTTGTAAAACCAATTCTATAAGAATAAATTTAAGTTTATTAACAAATTAAAAAAAAATTAAAACTTCATGTCTTGTTTTCTCAATAATTCATGCTTGTTGCAAATGGGTAACTGAAATTGATAGTTTGCCATGGAAGCAAAGTATTGATATTGGGTTCCATGCAAATCTATACGTTTTACAACAGGACAAAAATGGCCTTTCACGACACAAACGGCAATTTTATCAGCAAAAATGGATAAAATTGATTTTAATGGCGTAGTTTCCTTTTTCATGTCGACACAGTGTACCCGTGAATCGATGTCAAAAGCGAGGTGAGCTGAATAAATAAAACCAGAAAGTGCTGTTTCTGAAGTGATTTAAGTAGTTAAACAGCACAGAAATCGAATCGCCATAATGTTATACTAGTTACGGCCAATCCAGCTGGAATGAGCGCCGTGTATCAGATTGCATTCGGCGGAAAATTCTGCTTTACAGACTTTGTTAAAAGCTGGTATACCATTTTTAACTGGATTTTAACACTTCGTGGTAAGATTTGTTTGGTTTTTTGGTGGTGGTGGTTTTTTTTTTGTTTGTTCGTTTGTTTGTTTTGTTTGTTTGTTTGTTTTTTTTTTTTACATGAAAACTATAAATTTCTTGTTCCATTGTTAACTTTTTAGTTTTAGGGATAAAATCATTGAACTCATTAAATTTAAGTTGACGGTAAAATAATCATTTCAACTAACATTTCCATATTTTCCTAACTTTCATTAAAGAGAAGATCAAAACAAAAGCATTTCTAAAATAATTAACGAGTAGATTATAAAAATGTAAATAAAAATCATAGGACGAGATGAAAAATAATTCACCGGAGATTGAGATCAATAATGGTGTTCTGAATAGTGCTTTATAGAAATCAATGAATAATTGATA